ACATTAAATAGGTACAGATTTTTGGATTTGATCATACCTTAATAAAGTGGACTTTTTAAATGTAAAATTTATAATGAAACACATCACAGTCAAATTACTTGAAACCAGTAATAAAAAGAAAACCTTAAGAACAGGCTCAGGAAAAAGAATACATTTTAAAGAAAGATAAGTAGCATATTTCTCATTGCAAAGAATTAAACACAGAAGACTTTAATGTACTCTTAGTACTCTAAGAGATGTGAAGCAACATCTCTTAGAGTACTAAGAGATAAAGAAGGTGAAATAAAGACTTTTAGATGTAAAAGAGCTGAAACTATTCATCATCAGAAAACATGTAAAGAAAGGTCTCCAGCAGAAGAAAACAATTTTAAATTGAAATAGTAAACATGTAAAACAAATGCTCTTAATTTTAAATCACATTAAAATATAATTAACTGTTTAAATCTAAAATAATAAATCTATAGTGGAGTTAATAGTAACAAATGTACAAATGTACAAATAGTACAAATGTAATAGTAACATGAATGAGGACAATGATACAAAGTTTGGGAGAGTGGAAATGGAAATGTACATTGTAAGTTGCATGTTCTAGAAGTGGTGTAGTATTTCTTGAATTATACTGCAATAGAGTAAAAATGTTTGCTAGAAGCTCCAGAACAACCACAAAAAAATATGCCTAGCTAATCAGTCAACAATGGAGATAGAATAGAATTGTTAAAGATGCCTCAATCTAAAATAGGGCAGAGATAAATAGAAAACTGTACAAAAAGATAGATGAAGCAAATAGAAAACAAATACCAAGATGAGAGATTCAAACCAAATCCTATCAATAATCACATTATATATGAGCTATTTGGCAAGTAACTTTTGATGAAGGAGCCAAAATCTCACAATGGAGAAAAGAAAACCTCTTCAATAAATGGTGCTGGGAAAATTGGAAATACGAATGCAAAAAAATGAAGGAGATTACAGTTTGTCCCCATCTACAAAAATTAATTCAAAATGAACCAAAGACCTAAATATAAGATCTGAAACAATAAAGTACATTCAAGAAAACATAGGTACTAAACTTATGGACCTTGATCGTAGAGAACATTTTATGAATTTGATCCCAAAGGCAAGGGAAGTAAAAGCAAAAATAAATGAATGGGACTATATCAAACTAAAAAGCTTCTGTACAGCAAAAGAAACTGACAAAACAAAAAGGCAACTGACAGAGTGGGACATGATATTTGTAAACAACAGCTCTGACAAGGGGTTAAAATAAAAAATATATTAAAAAAACTCATGAATCAACACTAAACAAACAATCCAATTAAAAATGGGCAGAGGATGTGAAGACATACAAAGGGTCAACAAATACATGAAAAGATGTTCAACTTCAATAGCTATTGGGGAAATGCTAATCAAAACTACAATGAGATACCACCTCTTACCTTTATAATGGCTGCTATCAACAAGACTGGTAATAACAAGTGTTGGAGAGGTTGTGGAGAAAAAGGAAGCCTCATTCACTGCTGGTGGGAATGGAGACCTGTATAGCCACTATGGAAAACAGTCTGGTGGTTCCTCAAAAAATTAGTTGCCATATGACCCAGCAATACCTCTCCTGGATAACTACCTGAAAAACTCAAAACATTTATTCACAAAGATATATGCACCCCTAGGTTCATTACAACATTATTTATGGTGGCCAAGACATGGAGACAACCAAAATGTCCTTTGATAGAGGACTGGATAAAGAAGATGTGGTACATATATACAATGGAATACTGCTCAGCCATAAGAAAAGATTAAACACTGTCATTTGCTACAACATGGCTAGACCTTGAGAATATTATGCTAAGTAAATTAAGTCAGTCAGAAAAAGCTAAGAACTGTATGATTTTACTCAAATGTGGGATATAAAACTGAAACTCATAGGCACATACAACAGTATGCTAATTACCAGAAGGAAGGGAGTGGTGGGGTGGTGGGGGTAAAGGGGGCCAAATATAGCGTGACAGAAGATGGTTTGACTTTGGGTGGTGGACACACATTGCAATATACAGATCATATATCATAGAAATGCACACTTGAAACCTATGTGATCCTATTAACCAACGTCCCCCATACATTTAAGAATAAAAAGAAAAAGGACAATGCTACCTCTAAAACTGAAAATATGAAAGGCTAGTTTAAAATGCTAATAAATTTTCAAAGTTGGAAAGAAAAAAAATTAAAAGGCAGAGATACTCAAAATGGATCAAAAAGCAAAACCTAAATATGTATGGCACATAATAAACCCCCTTTAAACATAAAGACACAAGTAAGTTAAAAGTTAAAGGATACAAAAATATATCATGCAAACACTAATAAAAAGAAGCCTGGAGTGGCAACATTAATACTAAACAAATTAGACTTAAGAGCAAAGAATATTGCCAGGGAAAAAGGCTATCTTTTCATGATGTTAAAGGGGTAAATTCATCAAGAGAACATAAAAATTCTAAATATATAAGCACCTAATAACAAGTTTAAAAAAAGAGAAGCACAATCTGATATAACTGTAAGAAGAAAAAGACAACTCTACAATTATAATAGGAAATTTTAACACTCTTCTCTTAATAATCAAGAAGATATGTAGAGAGGAATTAGTAATAATATAAAAAACATAGACAATACTATCAAGCAACTTGTCATAATTTACATTTATAGAACATTCTGCATAGCAGAATACACATTTTTAAGGGTATATGTAATATTTACCAAGATGAACCATATGCTCAGCCATTAAACAAGTTTTACTAAGTTTAAAAGGATTCAAGTCATACAAAGTGTGCTTTCTGACCCAAATGGAATTAATTTAGGAATTAATAAAGGACATCAGGAGAAAGTCCCAAAATATTTAGGAACTAAATTATACACTAAATATATCATAAGTCAAGAGGGGAAAAAAATAAAGGAAATTTAGAAAAACTTTCAACTGCTAGAAAATGAGAACAGAATATATAAAAATGTATCAATAGAAGTGCTGAATATTTCTAAATGCCTGTAACAGAAAACAACAAAGCTCTCATATCAGTCACCTAAGATTTTACCTTAAGAAACTAGAAAAAGAAGAGCAGATTAAATCCAAAGTAAGTCAATATAGTAATATAGTAGGAAATAATAAAGAGAAAAGCACAAATTAATAAAATAGAAAACAGAAAAGCCATATATGGTAGTAATAAAACCAAAAGTTGGTTCTTTCAGAAAAATGATGAAATTGATAAACCAGACTGATTAAAGGAAAAAAGACACAGATTGCTAATATCAGAAATAAGGGGAAGAAGGCAGGCTTACAAAAACATATGAAGAAACTTTCTAGGGAGACTTGAGGATATGTTCATTGTCTGGACTGTGGTGATTGTTTCCCATGTATATGTTAAAATATGTTAAGTTGAACATTTTAAAACTGTATGTCAATAAAACCGTAAATGAAAATGAAGGAATAAGAAAGAAGCAGAAGTCCCCTCGGGCAACAGAGACATTTCCATTGAGACTGCTTTCTCATTATTTTAATTAACACAATTTCACACCAGGGAAGACTTTCTGCACAAATGTATTTCACAGCAAAATTTAACATGGAAAGATTATTCTTTTCCATCTTCATTTTTCAGGGCAGATTCCTTGGGAAGAGTATGCTTTTCTCACCCATAACCATCTATAGGACTGGAGATCAGAGTTACTTCTGCCCTATTCCATTGCTTCATCAAGGGATGATTCTCTGTGTTTGGTCCACATTTCATTATCTACAGGCTTCCCAAGGATATAAAGTTCTTTTAGCTATGTAGCAAAATTTAGGCAGAATTTTTCTCCTGGGTTATACTGTATCAATTATCTATAGCAACTCCCAGTGCAGGTGCAGATGTTGATTTTCAGGACATGCATCTTGATGCAGTTACATGTATTGCTCTTAATTGCTTAGTTTACATGTTCTCAACTTTTGTTGCACATTAGAATAATCTGCTAGAAGTTTTGTATTGTGTTTAGATTTAGGAAACCAAAAAACATTTAATTAGTCAGTTGACGCATTTAATAAGCCAGCATTCTGAATTTCCTTACCTTAAACTTAGGAGTTAAATTGAGATTCCTAGTTTTAGACAAACATGCTTGAAAAATTGAGTGGAGCCCTAGCCAGTTTGGCTCAGCGGTTGGAGCATTGGCCTGCAGACCAGAGAGTCCCGGGTTCGGTTCCCGCTAGGGGCATATACCAAAAAAAAAAAAAAAAAAAAAAAATTGAGTGGAACTAAGGAGTCGATTGCTCAAATATGGGTTATCATTAATTCTCATACAGCCATTTTAAGTGTTCTAATTGTCTGCACCACTGGGTTCCACAAATATTGATACCAACTCATAGAAGATGTCCACATAACACTATGAAAGTGCCATTTCCAAACCACATCACTTTTGGCATTTTCAATATTCTTCAACATCTGCATCAGGAACTTCAAGAATGAGAAGATGCAGCTTATAAAAATGCCTAACAAATTCAAACACCAAATACATTTGCAGTCAAAATTTCTTTTACCTTAAAGAGGAAACATATATCAAGGCAAGATTGTTTTGATCTATTCATTAATATGTGGTCATTGTAAAGGATGATAATTTTGACTCCTGAGTTAAAAGAAGTTGGGTGCTTTAAAGACAATTGAGATAATGGTGCTATTGTATGTGGCAGATCCAAAATTTATAGAAACATAGAGAGACATAAATAAATAAATAAATAAATAAATAAATAAAGCTAAAGCAAAAAGAAATAGGTTCAAAGAACACAGTTGGTGTGTCTGTGCCTGGAAGTTTGAATGAAGTCACTGGGTTCATGGGGAGCAAACAGGAATAACAGTCAAAGCAAGTGACCAAAACAGGGAGCTCAGATGGGTGGGTGTTAGTAGCAAGGATGGTCCTCTGCATAATTTTCCGAGGAGGAATCTCTGATAGTGACATTTGGTGAACTAAGAACTGAGAAGGTGAGGTGATTATCACTTGGAGAAAAGTATCTCCCTCCTGAAAAGTTTCCCCAAAGCTTCTTTCATGTCTCTGTTTCTCAGGCTGTAGATGAAGGGGTTTAGCATGGGGGTCACCACTGTGTACATCACGGAGGCAATTATGTTTTTGTCATTGGAGTTGTTTGATGATGGGAAAATGTACAGAACCATAATTGTCCCATAGAATAGAAATACTACAGAGAGGTGGGAACCACAGGTAGACAGGGCTTTGCAGATCCCTTTGGTAGAGGGGACCCTCAGGATGGAGACCCCAATGCGGACATAGGAGACGAGGATGCCAGTCAGTGGTATAATGATACCGAGGGCCCCTACAGTGAAGATGACCAGCACATTGACGGAGGTGTCAGAGCAGGACAGTTTGAGCAGAGCTGCAAGATCACAAAAGAAATGAGGGATAGTGTGATCAGCACAGAAGGACAGCCTGGCCAGGCTGAGAGTGTGAGACATTGCGCTGCTGCATGAAAATAACCAGGACCCAGCCACTAGTGAGATACACAGTTTTTCTCGCATCATGGTGGTGTAGTGTAGAGGGTGACAAATGGCCACGTACCTGTCATATGCCATCACTCCAAGAAGAAGGTTATCAATACAACCAAAAAATATGAAGAAATACATCTGTGTTACACACCCTGCATAGGGAATGGATTGATCCTGAGTCTGCATGTTCATGAGCATCTTTGGGACAGTGACAGAGGAGAAGGAGATGTCAGTGAGGGCCAAGTGGCTGAGGAAGAAGTACATGGGCGTGTGCAGGCGAGAGTCCAGCCTGATGAGCAGGATGATGAGCAGGTTGCCCAGCACCGTGGTCAGGTACATGCCCAGGAACAGGGTGAAGTACATGCCCTGCTGCTCTGGCCGGATGGGGAGGCCCAGGAGGAGGAACTCGGACACGCTGCTCTGGTTATCTCTTCTCATGGTCCTCCTCTGTCTGCTGGGGATGAAAGGACAGAAAAAAATGTCAGGGTCTTTGAAAGTGTGATTATGGCCACCACAGTAGGATCTCCTAATTTCTCCTGGAGAAAAATAATAACTCCTTGAATTCATACCATGGTTGCTGCCAAAACAACCAGCAACCCTCAATGCCCAACATGGTTTCCTTCAAATGAACCCAGAACAAATTCATTCTTGTTTTTTAATCATCCAGGTTCCTGGCATTATGTCACTAACTGAAGAAGCAGGAATAAATGGGACACAGAGGACCTCTTTCCTCAGCCCCTGACCCTCTGCGAACACCTGGCAAGGACTGGCTGAAGGTAAGGCCCGCAGACTCATCCCTTGTGCTGTGGGTCTGGCCCCACCGCTTTCTAGGTGGATGACTTGAGCTGAATCGTCCTTGGCCTCCGGTGGTGCCACTGTAATGTGAAGATACCAGTATCACCTGTTCCAATAGATAATAAGAGGATTCAAATTCAAGACACATTAATATCTAATAACAGTATCCCGCATAAAATAAACACACAAAATTTTTGCTATTATTTTTTATGGTAGGCTGACTATCCAAATAAAGCCAAATCAGGAATCTAATCAAACAGCATTATGAGATGGTCAGCACACCCTTCTGATGTGTACCAGGGCTATGAGTTCCGATACCTTGTCCTTCGCGATGTTTCCCGAATCCTCACTCTCTGTGCAGGAGACCCAGGAGTAAAGGGAAGAGATCAAACCTTGGTGGACTGAGGACCTTTACAGACCTTCATGTCTGTTCACCAGCTTCAACACAATGAGCAGACATCTCCTTTTAGCATCAGAAAGAGATCCCCGAGGGAGACAACCCCAAGTCCCTGACTAGAGCAGCAGTCAACTGGGATAATTACCCAACATCCTCCTGGCCCCTTGGGAAGAAATATTGGCTTCAGGGGCCAGACAGGTTGAGCTGCAACTGGAGTCACAGGAGAAAGTGTCCTTAATGCCAGTGATACCTCGGGCTTCTGGTCAAGTCTCTAGTTGGGAAGTAGGAGGTTCCCAGTTGTCCGTGGCCCCTGCATCACAATTTCAGCTTCTCTGCACAGCAGTGTGTGGCCCAGGCAGTGCAGGGGCTTCAGCAGGCTCCCAAATGCTACACAGACCTCTGTCAGAACACAAAGCCCCTTCAATGTACTGGCCTCCCCACTCCTCTGTGGGGGCCTGTTGGGGAGGGCCTGTGCCTTGTTCAGGGGTAGGGGATGGAGTCTATATGCTCAGGGAAAAGGCTCAGGGCTCTGCCCCCTTACCAAGAGAGCATGCCTGAGCAAGTTATCAAAGATCTCTGAGCCTACAGTTCTTCAAAGAGAAAATAGTAAGAATCCTCTTCATGTAAGTTTGAGGGATGATTAAATGAGCACATAATGGAAGCTTAATAAATGTTCAGGGTTATTGTCAATGTCTATGTAACACTAGGGATCATCTAGGGCTCAAATAGGCAGTTGGTAATTGTTGAATGAATTCATTTGTTCATTCACTGACTCATTCTCTTAAATAATTATTAAGGTTCTCACAAAAGTAAGACAGTGATATATACTCTGGAGACATAGCAGTGAATAAACTGAACAGAAATTCTTCTTAGAGCACACACATTCAAGCGGAGGGTGCAGAGAACAACTTTTAATGCAAAAAAAAAAAAAGGTAGGTAGATGCCAAAAAGTACTGAGGTATAATAAAAATTAAGCTTGGAGCTAGGGGCAATCCCTAAATTCATCCACAGAGAAATGGGCCAAAAAGCAGTGGTATATGTATATAATGGAATACTATTTGCCAATAAAAAGAATGAACTGATGAACAAAAACAGAATAAGATGGCCCCCTGGCTGGTTTGGTTCAGCAGTTAGAGCGTCAGCCAGTGGAACAGAGAGGCTCGGGTTTGATTCCCGCTAAGGGCATGTACCTTGGTTGCAGTTTGTCCCCTGCCCTGGTTGGGGTCGTGTGGGTGGCAACCACTCGATGTGTTTCTCTCACGTCGATGTTTCTCTCTCTCTTTTCCTTCCTCTCTCCCTCAAGATAAATGGAAAAAAAGAAAATGTCCTCAGTTGAGGATAAAAAAAAAAGAACGTAAGTTGTATTGATACATATTACATTACAGATGAATCTCAAAATGTTTATGCTGAGTGAAAGAAGGCAGCAATCAAAGAATATATTCTGTATGATTCCATTTAGATAAGCTTCTAGAAGGTGCAAACTGATTGATGTGACAGAAACAGATCAATGATTCCCCTGGGGGCAGATAGGAGGAACAAAGAGGGAGCAGGAGGTAGTCTTGGGGAAAGTCCATGATATTGACAGCTTGTAGTGATAGTTTCATGGGTGTATACATATGTCAAAACTATTCAAGGTATATACTTTAAATATATGGAGTGTATTGTGTCACTTAAACCTAAAAACATCTAGGTGTTTTTAAGAAACAATAACAAAATTAAGTATGCTAGTGTTTTTCCTCTATTGAATATCTTTCGATGGGTTCCCAAATCACTCAGTCTGAAAACCAGAAACTCTACTATGGTGATCAATTTTATGTGTTAACTTGGCTAGACAATAGTATCCAGATATTTGGTCAAATGTTATTTTAGATGTTTCTATGAAGACTTTTTGGATGGGATTAGCATTGCAATTAGCAGACTCCGAGTAAAGTAGATTGCACTACCCAATGTCTCTGGACCTCATCTGATCAGTTGAGGGCTTTAAGAAAAAGACTGACTTCCCCCAACCAAGAGACAGTGTTTTCAGCAGACTCTCTTCAGCCTCAAACTGTATCTTTCCCTTGGGTTTCCAGTCTGCCAGCCTACCCTGTGCAGGTTGGACTACCAGCCTCCATAATTGCATGAACCAATTCCTGAAAATAAATCTCTCTCTTCACACACACACACACACACACACACACACACACACACACAATTGTTTTTATTTTTCAGGAGAACCTTCACTAATATACCTGCTATGACTTTAAGTGCCCCACAAATCTGGTTTTCTAATATCTCTAAACTTATCACCTACCATCCCTTCCCCACCTGGCCCAGTCTAGCTGCTGAGATCCCCTTAATGCTCCTGCAATGGGCCGGGCACCATCTCACCTCAGAGTATTTACAGTTGCTGATTTTCGTGCTTGGAATGCTTTTGCCCAGATATGCCCATGGCTCACTTACCTGTCCTCACTGAGGTCTTTCTTTGGATGTTACCTTTCCAATGAGCTCTACGTGGGCCATGCAACATAAATTAGAAACCTTGCCTCCTGGACTGTGGCTCTTCCCCCTTTTCTTCAATTACAGTCAACATTCAATATTATATTAGTTTCAGGTGTACAGTTTAGTGGTTAGACATTTCTTTTTTTTTTTTAATGAATTTTTATTTATTTTTTTGTTACAGATATTTTACCTTTTTACCCCATTGGCACCCCCCACCCCACCCCCCCTCCACCCTGTCCCCGGCTTAGTTGTCCATGTCCATTGGTCATGCATACATGCATATAAGTTCTGTGGTTTATCTCTTCCCCCCCCCACCCCCACCATCTCCTCTTCTGAGGGATGTCACTCTGTGCCCTACTTCCATGTGTCTGGGAGTGGTTAGACATTTCTATAACTTACAAAATGATTCCCCCCAATAAGTCCACTCCCCACTGACACTATACATAGTTTTTACAATATTATTGACCACATTCCCTATGCTGTACTTTACATCCTGTGACTGATCTATAACTATAACAATTAGTAACTCTTAATCCCTTTACATTTTTTTGTTTTTATTGTTGAATGTATTACATTTTCCCCCAGTGACCCTGTCCTCTCCAATTCCACTCCCCTCCTGCCTTCCACACACTATTGTCAGTGTTCACTGGTTATGCATCTAGGCACAGAAGTTCTTTGGTTTATCTCATCCTGCCCTCCGTCCCCCATTCCCTTTGAGGTTCATCAGTCTAACAACCAAACTGTACTTCTTAATACTTTCATCTTTTTCACCCATTCCCTGAGCCCCCTCCCACTTGGCAGCAACAAAATGTTCTCTGTATCTATGAGTCTTTTTCTATTCTGCCTGCTCATTTTGTTTGTATATTTATTGTTGATAGATATGTATTTATTGCCCTTTTATTGTTCATATTTTTGTTCTTCTTCTCCTTCAAGAATACCCTTTAACATTTCATATAATACTGGTTTGGTGGTGATGAACTCCTTTAGCTTTTTCTTGTCTGGAAAACTCTTTATATGCCTATCAGTTTTAAATGATAGCTTTGCAGGGTAAAGCTGTCCTGGTTGTAGGCCATTGCTTTTCATCACTTTGAATATCTCTTGCCACTCCTTTCTGTCTTGCAAAGTTTTTTTTTGAGAAATTGGCTGACAGTCTTATGGGAGTTCTTTTGTAGATAACTATCTGCTTTTCTCTTGCTGCTTTTAAGATTATCTCTTTGACTTTAACCTTTGGCAATCTGATGATGCTGTGTCTTGGTGTCTTGGTGTGGACCTCCTTGGGTTCATCTTGTTGGGGACTCTTTGTGCTTACTAGACTTGCATGTCTGTTTCCTTCACTAAGTCAGGGAAGTTTCTGTCATTATTTTTTCAAACAGGTTCTCTTCTCTTTCTGGCACTCCCACGATGCGATTGTTGGTACACTTGCTGTTGTCCCAGAGACTCCTTACACTGTCCTCATTTTTTTGGATTCTTTTTTCATTTTGTTGTTCTGATTGGGTATTTTTTTTTTTTGCTTTCTTATATTCTAATTTGACAGTTTGCTTCTTGGCTTCACCTACTCTACTATTGATTCTCCGTAAATCATTTTTTTTTTTTTTTTGGTATGTACCCCTAGTGGTAACCGAACCCGGGACTCTCTGGTCCACAGGCCTATACTCCAACTGCTGAGCCAAACCGGCCAGGGCTGTAAATTATTCTTTATTTCAGTTAGTGCATCCTTCATTTCTGACTGTTTTTTTTTTGTTTGTTTTTGTTTTTTTATATTGTTGATTTTCTC